ACCGGTTCAGTCCCCACCACAGTCTTCAGGGCGTTAGCACGGCCCTTGAACTTGCGCTTCACACTCCCAGTAAATCCGCACACCATTGCTGCAAAATAAACAAGCATAAAATTAGGGATCAAAGGAAAGATAAAATTAAGACCTAGGTCGAGCACGACTTACCGAGTTTAGAGTTCGACCTTGAAGCTTCGATTGGCTGAACTAGACGGTTGTAGTCAAGAAGCCCCGACTCCAAGAGAAGCTTGTCGGTGACCAAGGTTTCGATCTTCCTGCCCTTGGGGAAGTTCTCCTTGTAGAACTTGAGGGTGTCGAAAGTGGCTTGATCGAGCTCGGGAATCGGCTTGATCGATACTGCACAAAGTAAACAAAAAGTTCGAGTTAGATGTGAATATCAAGAAGCTGAAAGAAAAAAGAAAACAAGAAAGACTCCATACCTAGGTTCCCAAACCTAGCAGACCCGTCAAAGAATGGACGACCTGACTCGTCATTTGCCAGCCACTCACCCAAGGCAAAGAACCACTTTCCTACCCATCCCTTGATGGAGGTCGGCCCCTTGACTATGCCACATGCGCCCTTCCTTGCGCACATATAGTACCGACCAGGTTTTTTGGCTATCCTCTTGGCCTCAAAACACCCAAGAAGCTGGTTAACACTTAGCAGCTCGGCCTCATCCTCGCCTCGAGCTCGCAACCAAAAAAGAATGGCTAAAGCAAAAATGACACCCCACCCATTGGGGGCCACTTGAGCAGGAGCCGGTCCAGTTCGGTTTAAGAACTCCTGGGCGAAAGGATGAAGGGAAAGCTTGAGGCCGTACTCAAACATCTTGAGATAAAGAGTGACCCATCCCTCTGGGGGATTGTCAGCTCTTTCCCCTTCCTCCGGAATCCTAAGGAGGATGTCATTCGGAATGTTAAACCTCCTACGAAGGGGTCCAAGATAATGCTCGGGCATCCTAGAAGGGTACTCCAGACCCTGGCCCGAGGTGGAGGTATCACTATCCTCTATGTCATCTGAGAACCTAAAGTTCTCTATTTCTTCAAGCTCGGACTCTAACGTACGAGCTAAGACCTCCCCAGAGTCACTTGGTTTGGGGGCGAACTACTTATCGTCCGACCTAAACAACCCAAGCTATCGCTACTGGAGGGGGAAGACAAGAAAACTACCATGTTTGAAAGAAGAGTAAGAGCCAGAAGAAATGACTGACCTAAAGAAAGGGTTCGAGCTGGTTTCAGATCGAACTCCAGAAATTCAGAAAACGTAAGGTTTGACCTGAAGTTTTGGCACTATTTATAGCTGATCGGAAAAACCTCCGCGTCGTACACGTGTAATCAACGAGCGGCTGGGATCTTCTGGGGATACGCAACGGTGAAACGCTTGATTGCTCGGACAACCTGGCAGGTCGAAACGTATTCCACAACAGTCATATTCCCTCTACAAATGGAAAGTCGCCACGTGTCCAAAATAGATTCGAATGAACTTCTCTGTCAGGTCGAGATCAAACCTAACAGAGAGGGGGCCAATGTTTAGGGGTAAACGTACCCGGGACACGTGGAGGACCCTTATTCGTGTTTGAAGAAATTAGATAAAAAGGATTGCTTAGGTCCACCTCAGCTCCGCCGAGGTGACCGGGTTTGCCCCTTAAAAGATGAAGTATGGGCACCAAAGTTCGACCTGACTGGGGTCCGACCTGCTCGGAACCCGACAGGTCCGATATAAGAAAAGACATGTAACCGCCGGTCGTGTGTGCTGTCGGATCCATCACCTATAAATAGAGGGCTTCATTTCACGCTCAGGTATCGAATCTCACCTCGAACTAAATAAGGAGTCCGATCTATACTGACTTGAGCGTCAGAGTGCTGACCCTCTTGTGTAGGTCCACTCTAGTGTTCAGGTCAGAACCGGAGACCGGGTTCGAGCTCGATTCGTGGAGAACCGTTGTGCAAATTCCTGCATAAACAGGGGTAAACATACCCGAGACACGTGGAGGACCCTTATTAGTGTTTGAAGAAACCAAATGAAAAGGATTGCTTAGGTCCACCTCGGTCCCGCCGAGGAGACCAGGTTTGCCCGTTATAAAAGACTAAGTATGGGCACCAAGGTTCGACCTGACTGGGGTCCAACCTGCTCGGAACCCGACATGTCTGATATGAGAA